TGGGGAGGAGACAAGGTTAGATGAAGATTCAGAGGCCATGTTTTGAAGGAGGAGACCCAGGACATCACTGAGTTTTAAAGAAAGGAGCATCAGGATCCATTCGCCCATCATGGCCAGGCAAAGATCTGCCTGAGACTCTTTCCACAGTGCTCTGCGAGGACGGTGCCCTCTCCTACTCTAGGATTTGGACAAATTTCACCTCCTAATGCAGCCTGTGCCTGCCTGCTGTGAGTTCACCCTTCGCATGTTCTCTGCTTCTCCTGTGTCTCCTTCCCAGTACCACCCAAGGCAATGGATAGGAATTTACAACTCTGTCCTTTGCTGGAACCAGTGTGTGTGTGTGTGCGCGTGCGTGTGTGCGCACATGCACTTCCTGTCTCCAAATTAGACTTCAAGCACCTTCAAATTGAATGCTGGGTCTGCTTTCCCACTGTGACCCCAGAGCCCAGCTCAGAGCCCATCACGTAGTAGGCACTCAATAAATGCACGCTAATGAAAACAAAAAGGAGGATAGAGGCACACAGGAATAACTACTTACCTTTCAGCAGAGTTTTAATAAGAGAATAAAAACCAAATAAGAACAGCAGCTGTCAAACTGTGTATCCTTGTTCATTACCCTTCTCACTCTTCACAGCTTACTCATTTTGAGGAGTGAGGAAACTGCATTGCAAACTCTGCTACTAAAGGCAGCACTAGGCATCGCACCAAAGCTTGTGTTCTCTTCTGCTACGTAGCTTCTTTCATGGTATTGTGTTAAAAAGACATTTCTGTCAGGAAAACAGAGAGGCTGGATCCCTTCTCTTCACCCCCTGGTCAGCAATAGAGCTCCTGGGCTTCTTCTACCCGTGATGGCCCCAAGCTCTTTGGGATCCGAATGTGTCTGGTGAAGCCCCTCAGGTGCTGAGTGCTTTGCCACAGGATCAGATCTCCCCCACCCACTGTGCTCACATGGGGGAGTCAGCAAGTCAAGAATTCTCCTGGCCTCCAGATGATTCTAAACCCCAAAGAAAGGCAGGCTCCCCACACCCGCATCCTGCACTTACCTCATCTTCTTTCTTAAAATTTTATGCAGGAGATTGATGGTGGGACATTTGAGAAGGTGCAGAGGCTCTGAGGCAGTCCCTCCTGTGAAGCCCTCCAGGACACTGATCCATTGTCCCCAGGGCACTGTCTAGAGCCACCAGTTCTCGGCCCCTCCCTGGACCCAACAGGTTTCTCTGCCTCTGCTGTGCCCTCCAGGCCCCAGCACGCTGGCCTGGCGATCTGTGCTGATACTCAAGGCAACAGGAAAATCTAAGGCGAGGCTCCATTTGTTCTCTCTTTGTGCCTCTCACCTGTGGGTGCTTAGGCCGAAAAGCAACTTCCAGTCTCTTGCTGAAAGCTGAATTTCTGGTCTAAATCTACTGGAAACTTTCAATGCACAGGGCCAGAACCTCCCAGGAGGAGGACACAGGCATAAAGTCATAGGGGATGACCCTGCACACACACCCCTCTCCCCTGACATAGCTTCCTACCTTCTCCTTCATGCTAGCTGGTGATGCTGCTCATGTGTGCCTGGAACCAGTTGAGGGGATCCAGATATGTGGATCACCTGGCCTCATCCTCTGCTTCTGGGCTGGGTTGCTTCTCTCGGCTTCAACTTCACTCTAGTTCTGACTATCTGCACCCCATTACCCACTTTGCACCTAGTTAGCCACTTGGAGACCACCTGTCAGGGGGAGCGGGGTTCGAACCCTGCCTCTAGTAGACCCTCCTCTGTGCAGGTGCTGAGATATGATGCTTAGCATCCCTCAGAGAAATGAGAGTCATTAAAATGCTGCCCTCCCACAGATGCTGTGAGGATGGAGGAGTAAACCCACAACAAGAATTCCCCATGTGGAGGGCTTGGGCAGTGCTGAGTGTGATTATTACTCTCCTCCCCACTGTCCATACCAGCAAAGTTGTTCTCAATCTCCCATTCAGACACCTGCTTCTAGCATCAATGTGGCCCAGCCTTGAGGGTCCCCATCCTGTCTGTCATCTCCAGTGACATTTGCTGCATGAAGTCATCTTCTGAGCTCTGAGGGGCTTTTTCTCTAAGGTCTTGGGATTCTGTTCTCATGGAGGACCCTCACAGCAGAAGCCCTCCAATTTCAGCTCCTTCAAGACCCCTGACTTCCTGCAGAGCACAGGGCAAGAGAGGTGGGGAGGGATGCCAATCTGCAGACCCCTGCAGTGAGCATCCTTCCAGAGCCCATAGCCGGCTTCCTCTTCCTGCACTATCAGGTGGACCATCAGTGAGCCCAGCAAGACAGCAGCTTCACCCAGAGTCGGGAAGCACAGATCTTCCAACATTTCCCTTCCAGCACTGCTGTTTTCTGAACATTACAAGGAAAAGGACTGTGGCCTGAGTGTTGCTCCTCCTGCCAATGCTTGGTGTCATCATTGGGTATTTTGTCTCCTGTTACTGAGAAAAGACCCCCACCACGTCCTCAGGTCCTAGAACCCTGCAGTACCCAGGATGAGACAGGCTTCTGAGTCACAGACCCTCATGTAGAAGGTGACAAGGGCTGAGGTTCACTGCTCGACAGGAGAGAGCCCAGGGATCTCTACTACCTGTGGCTTCAGTGTCCAGGCAGCCAACCTTCATAAGCAGTGATATGGGAGAGTGGGATAGATTGGAGAGAAAATATCTCCACATAGACCCTCATCCCCACCACCACCACCAGCACAAAGATTACGACTGCTTCTCAACTCCTGCAGTTACTATGGTCACATGTAGCCAGATCACGTGGAAGGCAGAAGTTAAGATGTTTTGTGATGGCCAGTATTTTGAGTTTTAAATATTGGCCTCTGATCTTTAAAAGGCTTAGCATGATGTGATGCAAGCTCCCCAGGACATATTTAACCCAGCTATGACCTCAGGCTGGCTGTTTATATCCCCTAAATTCAGTAAATGAAAAAGAGAACAAGGAATGACAGACAGACAGACAGAGAGAGTTAATACTCAGAGGTACAACTTTGGGAACTGGCTGGCACATTCTAGAAACTTCCATGGCAGCAAAGTTAGAAGGGGGATGGGTAGAAAAGACCAGGTCAGAGGGGCCAGCTCAGAGATGGTTCCCTGCACCATGCTACTGAATCTGAACTTGATCTTTGAAAGCTAGAGGGACCTATGAGGGAAGCCAAAGAGTTCATAGGAGGGAGTCACACAGTGCAGTCTGCAATGCAGAAGTGGGGTCCTCCATGAGAGGGACTAGCAGATAGCCTGTGCACACAAGGTGGGAAGGCAGGAGTCACAGCAGGGATCTAGGGAGAGGGATGGCACTGGCACCTGCTGTCCCCACGTAGGACCCTCAATGAGGAGGCATGGTGAGGGGAAGTGTGGCAGGTAGACAGTGTCCTGGTTCTCAGTGGATAATCTCGAGGTGCATTTTCTGCAGGAACGCTGAGAGAAAGCAGGGTGGGAAGCAGGATATAGCAGGACACACTGAGTCTGGAGCCAGGCATGAGGCGTTCAAGGGCAAATCTAGGTGTCACTGGTTTGTTGAGGGACAGTAGAGGATGGGGTTTAGCATATGGACCATGCTAAGGCTATGCTCTGAGCAACTCCAACGTCTAGCTGTCATGGTTTAGATCAGGAATGTTCCCGAAGGTCTCATGTGTTCAGAGGTGAGCTTTTGGAAAATGACTGGATCATGGCAGGGTCTATATTCACCGGTGGATTAAACCACAGATGAACCCAGAACTGCCAGCAGATGAGGCTTGGTTGGAAGAGCTGGGCCAGTAGGGGTGTGGCCTGGAAAGTTGTACCTCCTGTCCTGCTCTCCTTTGTCTCTCTGCTGCTTGGTTGCCATGACACGAGCAGCTTTCCTTTGCAGGCCCTCCTACCATGGCCCTCCATGGCTTTGGAGCTGACTGACTGTGGACCGAATCCTTAGGGTCTCTGAGACAAGATAAACCTCTCCTCCTGTAGGTCGTGGGTATCAGGTTTTCTGCCCCGCAAGACAGTGACTAAGATACCAAGGGAAGGGCTGAGAGTAAAGGTGGAGAGAAAAGTTCAACCAAAGCCTGGAACAGGGTCACTGCAAGATGGAGGAGTCAGTCCACGGCCCACAGGATACTCAGCTTCTCACTCCGTTCATTGGACAGAGAAGAGAGAAGAGACTTAGCCTGAGCCAATACATGGGCTATATCCTCTCAGGCAGGGACAGGTCACACTGTGAGGGTCTCCGCACAAAGTTTTCTACACAGTCCTGTGGAATCTGGACATACCTTACCTGTCCAGGCCACTTTCAGACAAGATGTGCCTCTCCTGTCAAGAAGAAAAATGCAAGGATTAACCTTGGGCAGACCCTTCTGGACCAGCCCTAGCACAGCGTCTAAGAAAGCAACACCCTTCAGGAAACTCGGTTCCACTACAGTAAACCACCATTTTCACCCATGGCTTCTACTGCCTCCCTGCAGTCTGCACTGTTGAACAGCAACATCTCTGAGGACCATCAGGGGTCCAAGGGGACTATCGGGCTCCACAGAAGCAGTTGGTTTATTCTGTTCTAAAGGGCGGTGACTGTGACCTTCAACAGCATGGACATCAGTCCAGGATTTCTCAAGGTCCCACAAGACCTTGGTTTACAGGGAAGTGTGTCAGGGCTGTAAAACCAGAGCCATTGGAAAGAGAACTCACTCCTCCAACCCACCTGTCCTGCTGCCATCTGATCCTGAGGCTTCCTGAGCAGCAACCATGACAACTGCTAGAGCAGAGGGAGTTGCCATTTCCCTAGGTCTAGGCAGGGTCAGAAAGGAGACACATCAAACACCCAGAAGAAAAGCCACTTCAAAGTCTTCCCCAGCCCAGGTACCCCCTGGGAATCTTATCTTGAAAAGGCTGCAGCTGGCATTAATAGGGATGCTGTGACTGAATGTAGGTCCATCAAGAAGGGGACAAAAAGTGGAGAAGAAAGCCATGTAGGGCACGGAAGCCTTTCAAGTCCCCGCCAGGCAGGTTCAAGAGCAAAGCATTGCATGTCCGACACTTCCTGCTTCTCTTTAAAGAGCACAGATTTATCCACGCTATGCAACATGAATGAAATGAGAAGTTGGCAGGGCTGCCAACCTTTCCATTGTGGCTTTGAGGTAGTGTATTTCTTCTACAATAAAAAATGGGAAACTGACAGACAAAATGCTGTGTCTGCAACATGAAGCCCAGTGATTGTCATGACTGGGTCCTAAAAATCTGGACAGTGGAAGGTTGAATGAATTTTCATATAAAACCATTCCCAAACAATACTTTGAATGGCTGGGTCACATTTTTTGGTGTGGAGTAAGGGGAGTCTAACTGCAGTATTTTCCCTATTAGCTAGAGGTCTTGCAATGATTTGTTGAGCAGCCTTTGCGTCTCTGACTTCTCCAGTACCTCCTCCCTGGATGTTCGAAACTTAGAAGGTGCAAGTGCATTCTGCAGGTGCATGAGGTCTGGCCACATGTGGACTAGGATCTGAACCCCTGCTCTGAGCAGTTTGCCTGGTAGGTGACCATGGCCAAATCCTGTGGTCTTTTTAAGCATTGGGTGACTTATTTCTAAAAATGAAAAATAGGAAAGTGAAATGTCCTGATACAGTGTCTGGCACATAGTAGGACTCCAGCAAATCAACTCATGTTTTTTATTGGCCTTTTGCAATCTGCATATCCTTTGAGACAGCATTGAGCTCACATGACTGACAGGGATAAAAATGTCACCTAGGATATAGAGCACTATTCTAAAGGAGCAAACTTTGATGGAAAGTGGAAGCTGTTTAATTGGGGGGAAATAATATATATATATATATCAAATTTTTTACTTAGGAATTTTGTAAAATTATTGTTTGTAAGAAAAACCACAGAAAGTCATGTAGAACAAAGTCTTGCTATATGTGAATGTAGAGAAAAGTTGAAACTTTTAATTGGAGTACAGTAAGAATCACAGAGAGATGTCATGTCATTGTTAGGAGAATCTTAAAAGGTTGATGGGAGATGATTTAAAATAATAGAATTCTCAGCCAGAAGGAATCTTGAAGATGCCCGAGAACTCTACCCCATCCCTTCACTCGGGCTCATCCATCACATCTCCTCCCAATGGCGGGTTTCCTCCAGAGGGTGTAAGATTAAGCAAACATGTATTCAAAGGCTGTTGGGTGTGAGCTGGCAGCATGGCATAGTAATTAAGAGCTGGACTCTTCAGCCAGCATACCCGGCTCAATCCTGGTGTCCCTCCTCAGGAGCTATGTGACCCCAGGCAAAGTTTTTACCTGCTCTGTACCTCAGTTTCTTCTCATGTAGAATGGATAATGATTCCTCCCCCCCACCCAGCTATCATGAGGTGCAAATAAACTAATGTAATGGAACAGAGCCCAACCTAAATTAGGCCCATACCAGAAATTATTATGCAGCTAAAGAGAGCCATTGAATTCATAACAGAAGGCTCAGAAAGCAGGAAGGGGTGCATTTCAGACACAGGCGGAGGCACTGGCTTTGGATAAGAAGGTGACTGGCTGCTCTGTCTTAATGAGAGGAAGATGAGAGGGAGGCGGAGTCCTTCTATTAACGAATATTTACTGCCCCCCAGAGGCACCGTGCCTGACACTGGGGATGGCAGCAACAAGAGAGTCACACGGTTCCATCATGAAGCTGACATTCTAATGGCAGAGTCAGACAATGCATTTAATAAATGAGGGTGGTGAGGAAAAGGTTGAAGAGCTGGGAGTCCAGAAGGAGGGCGTGAGGAGAGCCACAGTGAGGGCACAGGGGACAGTAGATGATACTCAAAATGGATCATCAGGGAAGGTCTCTTTATAGAAGTGCTATTTGCACAAAGATTTGAAGGTAAAGAGCCCCTTGCGAACATCTGTGGGACAGCAGTTCAGGGAGCAGGACCAGCTAGCACAATGCCTTGGCCCTAAGTGTGCTCGGTGGATGTGAGTGGATGGGCGGTGAACACGAAGGTGGGTTACCTGCTTCCTGTCGAAGCAATAACTTTAGGAAGCTGAATCTTCTTTTCTACCAAGAGGGCCACCTTCAACTTTTTTGACTGTTCTTTTAGCAGTCCTCACTGAGCATCCTGAATATGCAGGAAAGTGTCCCCTTTACCAGTACTGAGTGGCCAATACCTGAGTATGGTCTGGGGCCATTGATGAAGCTGAGCGGATGAGGCAGCAACAGTAGCTGTGGGTCTGGAGAACCCTGTTGTAGATGTGACCAGGAAACCAAATAGAACAAGAGACCCTGGCACAGTATGGAGCAGGGGCTGCAGAACGGGTGCAAGGAGTCTAGAAACGGCTCTACAACCCCAAAAACCTCATAGAAGTCTTCTCTACCAGCTTCTCACCAGTTGCAGCCCAATCAACACCATAAGTATGTAGCACCTTTAAGACTTGGCTACTTTGCTTTCTGGGTATTTGAATGATAGGGACCTCATAATGCAGCATATTTTAAACATGTATATACTCAGACTAAAAACCATACAAAGGATCCATGAATCAAAGAGTCTGGTCTTTGAAAGGATGAGAAGGGGATCTAGGATGAGGGAGATGGGAGGAAGAGAAAGGGAGAAGGAAGTAAAAAGGATTAAGATGGGATACATATATGTGTCAATTTCCTCCACAATGAATGTCTTTACCGTGCACCATAATAATATACTAATGAAAACTGAAAAAAAAGATTGATAGATTAGAGGACGGGTTCCACATAAATTGATTGCTGCAGTTCATGCATCATGTCTAGTTTGTGCCTCTTCATTTGCTCTGAAAGTGTTCTGATTCAGATGATAAGTTAGATCGTCTCTCTTCTGGTTATAGGTGACCCATAGTTTCATGATGAGAAGAATAAGCACTGTGGAAATTCTTGGCATCCAAGTAACTTGCTTACTTGCATTTTGATGTGCAGATGCCTATAAGTACTGATATACAGATGCTAGGAAAATTAGCTGGAACATAATCAAAGCCCTAGGTTCTTGGAGATGTTTTCTGAAGTTGAGCAAAGGGGAGAGCCAGGAGTGAGCTGGTACCTTTCTACACACCAGTGAAAGCTGATTAACAAGCAAAAGTTTGCTGAAATCAAAGCAAAGGGGAAAATTAAATCAAGCTACTACTTAAAGCAAAAGAGGAAGAAGGTGGCAAGCAAAGTACAGTGCAGTCAATAAGGAAAGAGCAGGAGCTGACAGAAAGACAGCCTGAACCTGCTGATTTACCACCACAACACCACCAAACCCAGAGCCAGAGAGGTCAACTGTCATGGAGACCCCACTGGCAAGGTCTCCAGGGCTACTATGCTCAACAGTACCTCAGTATCTGTCTTAGTTACTTTTCTGATTGCTGAGACAATATACCTGACACCTAAGGTTAAAAGAGGAAAGATTTATTTAGCTCACAGTTTGTGGAGGTTTCAGTCCATCATTAGATGGTTTCAAGGTAGGATGGCACATGGAAGAGGGGCAATAGTTCATGAAAAACAGCAAAAGCAGAGAGACAGAGAGAGAGAGAGAGAGAGAGAGAGAGAGAGAGAGAGAGAGAGAGAGAGAGAGAGAGAGAGAGAGAGAACAAGCGTCTTTCTGTCCCCTTACATTATATGTAGCCTACCCATCCTAGGGTGGGTGTAGTACTTATACCCCTAACCCCAGCATTGGGTCATGAATCAATCACAAACTCTACATTCAACCACCTCTGAAAAAACCCACCCCTCATGACTGTATGAGTCTTTGGGGTGACATCTAGACACAAAACATAACAGTATTTATGATGACCAAAGCTTTTGGCACAAGGATGAGATGTTCTGTGTAGGAAAGGCATCCCAAATGCTATTGAACAGATTGGTAACCTGTTAGGCTTGACCAGATGGGCAAGCAAGTATGTGTGGGGAACAGGAGGAGAGAGACAGGTAGTTGTCACATATAGTACAGAGAACAAGTCTAAACTTGGTGCGAGCACCACAATAAAAATATTGCTTGCTCCCTATAAAACGGAAGCTATTCCATAGGGTGCTGAGTTCCCATTCTGACTCCTGGCTGGCAGTCTAGAAGTGGCTGACCTGTTCCAGCTTTCAGTGTGACCAATGGTGGTTTTTACCATGGGAATGAGCTGTTCTTCCTGTTAGAGCTGGGACTTCAGGAAATCCATGCTCAGCTATATGAAGTCCTCAAGAGGAAATATGGCAAAGATGACTCCTGTGTCATCTTGCTTCTCACATCCTAGAAAAGGAATCAGAAATGGTTCTCAGGTCAAATCTACCCAGCTGCCTACTATCATCTGGCTCTCCAACTAAGAATGGGGGAAAAAATCAAAGTGTAGCATTACTGTAGAATAATTTACAACATGTGATGCACTTTCTAAATCTTTGCATTTTTTACCTCATTTGATTTTTCCAGCAACCTTGTGCAATCCATGCTGTTCTCATTCTATACATGAGAAAAAAAATGGATGCTTCCAGATAGGTTAGGTAATATTTTAAGATCAGACAGCTAATGATTAGTTCAGCTAGAATTCAGATCCAGACAACTTTCTCAGAGCTTGCTCTCTTAACCTACTTCCTCATATGCAAAGTTCTCCATCACTATAAGTGTAGAGGAGAAATTCCAAAGGAGAGATTTGGGTGATGCATGCTAGTGAGTTCACAGGAGGGAAGATCACATAGCTCAGAGAGTCAAGGAAAAGCTTAGTAAGAATATGGGGCCACCTTTACATCATTATGACAAGAATACTAATTTTGAACCCTAATTAAGCAAACTCTTATTAACAAAAAAGGAGTTACATTCTTCTCATTATAGACCTAATGAAATTTTTAAGTACCAAAAAATTGTTCTGAATTATTATATTCTAATTTCATCAATAATACATCTGTGGAAATTTTTCTCTCTTGTTACTTAAGGATGTGCGTAATAGCTTCAAGTTTTCCTCTTTGTTCATAAAGCTAAAATACTTGCTGCCTGAGGAAAAGGGAGCTGAGTAGCATCCTCGAGGATGCAGAACCTTAGAGGTACCATGCAGTGTGGTTGAAAGAGCTATTAAGGTAATGAATGACTCCAGGTCACAAGGTTTGGGGAGTATGATTTCGAACTTCACGTCTCCTGATGACCCCAACGATTACATCACCATAGTTGGCAGACAGATGCAAGTTATTCATCAAGGA